AAAAAATCCCAACAGGTCCGTCGTCGTCACAACATGGTTTGCCGATGGAATGAGAAGCTGGGCACAGTGTGTACCAACGAGAAGCCAATCCGACTGCGGTATGATAACAGAGTAGCTCCTCTATGCAAGACGCCTTCGCAGTTCCAACACAACGATATCTTCCAAGTTACCCATAAGCGCCTGAAGTGTCCTAAGCATTTGTGGGATCCTCAGCCCAAGCATAAAAAGGTAACTGCTAAGCTCCCTGATGAGGAGGAGGAAGAGGTAGAAAATGAGGAAGAAATCATTGAAGAAGAAGAGCCGAACTGGTTGCCATTGACCGCCTTCGCTTCTGCCCCTCGTGAAGTGAAAGATCTCCTGGAAATCGCAGAAGCAGAGATGCCCGAAGACACGTATGCCCCGGAGTCGACTGAAGAGGAATCAGCTGAGATTCCGCAGAGGGACGAAGCAGGTGATACCATTGAGTTAATCAGCATAGTTACAATCAACAATGGACAGGACTACCGTCGACAGAAGGAAGAAATGAAGAGGCAAATGGAGGAGGAAAGGCGAAAAGCAGCAGACATTAAACTTAAGGAGAAACAACAACTTAAATTGCAACTGTCCTTAGAAAAACAAAAAATGAAAGAGAAGATGGCAGCCGAGGCGGAGTTAGAGCGCCAAAGAAAAAGGAATGAAATGGAGGAATTCCTAAAACAGCAAGAGCTTCATCGCATGATGCAGGAGAGAGACTCGAACAGAATGATCTAGTTAGCAAAACCGGTCTTATTTTAGTCGCACTTTTAAATATAAATAGAAATCAAGCCGTAGAATATGGAGACGTGACTTAATTTTACGAACTTTATTGAAAGGACAATGGATAAACCCATCCGAAATAAGTAATAAATGTCGTAAAATAACGAAGTTAGAATTAAGTGAGCAAATCAGTTTATGAATACTAGATGGGCCATCGTGAAAATCATTCCAAAAATGTCTTCAGAAAATATCTCCCTAATCAAACATAATTTCTTTTTGTTTTTGTAGGTTAGACCATAAACAGGCTAGTATTTCCACTTACGGATTACTTAGATAATTTAGGTAATATATAATGTACAAACCATAGGACATAATTAATAGGTGTTGTGACTAGTATGAATAACTGCATTCCTAAAACATCTAAAAGAGAGAGAGAGAGAGAGAGAGAGAGATTTGATTACTTATGAAGTTATGATACATACAGTTTGTATATGATGTGCATCTGTGTCCAAGAATGTATGTATGCATTACGTCAGATATTGCATGCATGTAATGTATGTATGTATGCACGCACACACACACACACACACGTGAATGGAAGTATCACAACTCAGACTACTTGTGTTAACCCACTACATTTACTGAATAGGATCATTATAAACAAAGAAACAAGTGTAAATACTGTCAGTGAAATAAAAAGTAGATTTATTAATGTGATGAATTTTACCCAACTTTAACATCCAAGAAGCAAAACAAAAAACGCAATGAGAGACTTATTATTTATTTGGAGAAATGTCTGCAAAAGTGCATAATATATATATATATATGTCAGGAGGTTAAAATACATACATATTATCAACACTTTTATTATTGCTTTGAGTCTCTTTTCGCTTATCAAATTCAACTTTTCTATAGACAAGATACTTTGCATAACTTCTGAATGATACATAACAAGGATAGTTAAATCTGGTATTTTCTTCTTTTCTTGTTTTACGCTACGCAAAATTCGCCCTTATCCAATGTACTTTAAGAGGTCTAGAGCATAGTAATCTTCCTGTCCTAATTTCGGAACAGTATTATAAGCATCGATGGTGATGCTTATAATACTCAAGACATTTGTATTATCAGTGTAGCCAGCAGAAATACCTGTCCTAAAAAAATCAGTGTGATGGACACAATTCTAAGGAAGATAAATATATTTAGCCCAGCTGATTCTTAACTGTAAGCCAGTGGTGGTGCCCATCGGTAATTCCAGTGGTACCCTCTTGATCCTTCAAATAATAACCTTAGGGCGTATCTTTAATATCAGATAGTGTCGTGGAACGCAGTGGGTTAATGGTTACAATGCAAAGTAAATGTGCTAGACATCATAGGTCATATAGCACTATAGAATGGAGTAATAGTGAAAAGAGTAAAAAGCGAGGTCCGTTGATGATTAAATGTGCTACACGTCAAAAGTCGTATAGTAGTTCAGGAAGGAAGAGATTAACAAAGGGTTAGATAAAAGTTGTAAAAGGAGGAAATGTAGAATTCTATAAGGATGTCCGTAGGATAAGGTAGGAATTGCTAAAGGAGAAGGGGTTGAGCGATTAAACCACAGTTTTAGGAAAAATGTCAGGAGGGAGAGAATTCAGGAAAGGGGGCTGTTGTGACAAAGGGTCACGTGTGTATCCTGGGGAAAGCGGAAAAGATAATGGGGAAGGAAAGGGGATACATGCAACTGAAGCAGGGGGGGGGGACGTGTTGGGATGAAGTGGGAGGCAGGGGAAGATGGATGTTTGCAATTACTTTGAATGGGAGCAAAGAGATTGGAGGATGGATGGGTGTAGGCATGTTACCTTGGGTCATGATTAAATAGTTTTGAATGTCTTCGAGAGTTCTTGCAGTGAAGTTTGTTGGGGAAGTTTGAGAAATAAAGGCTAAAAGGGAGAAGAGGAGACAGATGTTTGAGGGGTGAAGGGAGAGGTTGATAGAGGAACGTTTAGCTTGTCTTGATCTCACTTGGCTGGGCTATAGAGTACTCAAGGCGTGCGTAGGGTGGGGGTAGTAGAACGACAGGGACATGTGGAAGAGGGAGTAGTGTTAAGTGAGGTAGAACTGCGGAGAGGTGGACAATAAAGTTGCAGAATAATAATAAGAGAGGATGAGGCAGTTGATGAAGAAACTTGTGGGGCTGGAGGAGATGAAGTAGAGGATGTTGGGAGAGAAAGAATGTCTCCCGGAGATTGAGTATCGACCTGGATGGATGATTTGGACTGAGCTGATGCGATAGTAGGCACTGAGGAGAGGGAAGTAGTAGCAGTGTTCAGAGTTGTGAACAAAGGAGAACCTGGGATCGGGGAGCCAGGAGAACTGAAATAAGTGGCGGTATTTGATAAAGGGGTAAACCTCATTGCCCCTATTAATGGTTTTCATTACTGGCCATGGTAAGCCTCGGGTATGTTGGAGGAGAGGAATAGTCCACTCTGAAGGAGCCCCTTGAGGAGCAAGGGCTAGACAACTAAACAGGGGAATGCCATGCCCATAGCTCCTCCACTCCGTTCATGTCTGGCACAAAGTGAGCTTTTCATCCTTTTAGCACAGCTCTCACGCGTTAGGGAGTGGATAGTAGGAGTTGGAGAAGAGAAGGAAACGAAAAGAGGTAGAGGAGAGACCGTGCAAAATTCGTTGAGTCGAGGGCTGAGGCCAAGGCAGGGGTGGTCTCCAGCACTGGGCCCCAGTCTCCGTCTCCTAAGGTCCCACGGAAACAGCGGGCATTGGATTGGGGGGGTAGTGCAACACAAACAATACGGACTGATTAGTCTCTGAATATGGCGTTTTTTTTTAAATCTGGAATTCCTTAAAAACAATATTTACATGGATGGCAATAGTACACTGTGGTGCTCTATTCCATATATGACTAATAATGATGATGAAAATGATGATGATGATGATGATAACAATACTAAGTTATTGTTATAACTATATTACCAACAACAGCAACAATAATAATAAAAGTAACAATAATAATAATAACAACAACAATAAAGATTATAATGATGATAATGATAATAACAATAATAACAATTTTAATGATAAGAATGGTGATTAGAGCAATAATAATAATAATAATAATAATAATAATAATAATAATAATAATAATAGCAATAATAATAGATAAAAAATAATTAAAACATTAATAATGATGATGATGATGATGATGTGATGAAGATGAGGATGATAATTATTATTACTATTATTATTATTGTAATAATAATACTAGAAAATAATTAGAACAATAATAATGATAATGATGTTGATGATGATAATACTAATGATGATGATGATAATAATGATGATGATGATAATAATGTTAATAATGATAATGATGATAATAATAATAATAACAATAATAATAACAACAACAAAATCGACAACATAATGATATTGTTAATATGGATATTGACGATGACCATGATGCTAACAGTAATTACAAGTATAGACAATTAAAATAATTATAACTAATTAATAAAAAAATAAAGACTATTACGATAATATTGATGAAAAAGAAACATCTATTCCACTTTCGCTAGAGTCACAAACTCTAAAGGTCTCTTTCAGCTAAACTTTCCTTAGCTTTACCCTTGGGGATCCCGGTATTTATATGTATGTGTGCGTGCATGCGTGCGCGCGTTTATTTATTTTTTTCTTATCAATAAGAAAGTACTTTATCTTTGCCGAAATGGTACTAGCTTTTCCAGCAGAGTATCATAATCGACTGATAGGTTAATAACACAGCACGAATGTAATGCCAGTAACAAAAGAGAAAAAAGATTAATGGTCGTTCCGGGAAAGGGAGGTCGTCCATTGTCGTCAAGCTCCTCCGGGCGAGGCGATCAGCTGTCCCAGATGTTACCAACTCGAACATTATTATCCAACACCATTCTTAATTTCGAAATTGTTGTTCCATACTTTTTATCAAAAGGAAAACACGATGTGATTATATACCTCTAGACGAAAGGACAATGAAATCGGCCCAGAACTAAACCGTGGAAAAAGAATAAATCATCCGTAGAAATAAACCCCATAGCTTGGCACAGGCGAAGGTACCTCCCCCGGCCTGGCAACAGCGCGAGTCGGCGACGGTGGGGTTTTGAGGTTGAAGTTCAAGGGGTTTTTTCCATTAAATTTCCAAGATGCCTGTAAGTCCGGCTAAAGATTTCCTCGCTGGAGGCTTCGGTGGAATGTGTCTCGTTACAGCCGGACATCCTTTAGATACAATTAAG